GAGAGAGATAGCAAGAGCGAGAGAGAAAGAGAGAAAGAGAACGAGAGAGAGAGAGCGAGAGAGAAAGAGAGAGAGAAAGAGAGAGCGAGAGAGAGAGAGAGAGACAGAAAGAGAGAGCGAAAGAGACAGACACACAAAGAGAATGGGGATCAAATATAACACTATAAAAATAATAAGATTTGACAAAATAAGCCAATATAACATAGAGCAATAATAATCAACAGGTTAAGAAATTAATTTATTAATTTAATTAACAATATAATTTTATTATTTAGCCAAATGCAAGTAATGGTCAAATGCATGATTCCGTGGAGTTTCGACTTGTTTGAACGTTAACGTCGTGGGAAACTATCTTCGGTCGGTTCTGCTATATGATGTATACTACGATAACATCACCGTATATTGTACCAGAATTTCTATGCAAAACAAAAAAAGCTAAATACTATCGCATCAAAAATTTGTTATAATTTTATTTCACTATTTATCGTTAAATTGTTGCATTATAGTTTTTATTTTGCCGTTCGCGCTTGATGGAAACAAACGGTCCCGAATTATACATGACAAAGACTTGAGGTGCGCATGCACAAAATTAATCGCCTAGGTGTTTTGTTTTATATTTTTACTTAGTTTTGAAACATTATTATTAGCTAGGAGTCTGTAGATGTATTTGCTGGCGTTTTATGGAAGTTTATGTAAAAGCACAACAGTCTTTTACAGATGTACACCTCGTGAAGGTTTAACGTAGCCAGTTGTCTGTTAGTTTACCTAGCGCCCTTCTCAAAACGTCATTCGCACTCTTTCTCGCTTAGCCCCATTCCAGTCTTTTCCAACACTCTGTTGCACGCTCCCACTCCTCCACACACACGCTTAATTTCCCTTTATCATTCCTTACCTTCGCGCGCGCACAAACACACTCACTCACTATATAGCGGCTGTCTGTTTCGCCTCAGGGACCCGCGGCTGTCATAACTGCAACACACCAGCTGTTGAAGCACTTGACATATGGAATGCCACGAAGCTTGAAAAATGCCAATTCGCGCGCGCATTGCTCTTTATTAACGAACAACACTTACAGATGTCGAGATGTTATCAGCACCTCCTGTTGACCAAGAGGTGAAAATATTTTTTCGTAAATAAAACGCCAGCGCAGGGCCACATTGAGACGTCTTTGATAGTCAATAGAAAAACTTGCCGTTTCGGGTTTGATGGCTTGCGATAAGCGCGCCAGCGCTGCGGCACCAGGTGTTAAGTTAAGCAACTGCGATCCCGTCTCGCGTTTCCAAGTATTGTTAAACGCTGGAGAAAAGTTGTGTGATTTCTTGACACCCGCCCAAGTATGGGCGTCTCTGTCGTTCCCCCCGCGCTGCGGCAAGGCACTGCCAACGCCCGCTGTCGACGACGTACAAAGAAGCTTCACGTCGAGAGCAGAACGATGTCATGTTGGCACAGTCGAGAGATGCGGTTGATGTTTAGAAGAAGGCTCCGCGGTAAGACCTCCCAAGAAACCTTCATACATTATGGATTTGGGTTAGAATCCTCCGCCGGCGCAAAAACCGCCACAGGCCGTTCACCTGCGCAGGTGCAATGAGCAATACTCACATCGAGCTCTTTTCTCATCAGCAGCACGTTATACGTGGCACAGATATCACACGATAATAACTACTATGTTGACTATATTGAGGACACGTAGTCACGCACACATTCGTTATCTACACGAGCGCAATACACAACTGCCGCGAGAACGGACATATGTAATGAGAACACACACTGTTTGCGTCTCGAGCACTATACATGTTTTCCGTCAAAATCATTGCCAAGTGAGCGCGCGGTGATACCACGTCCGTTTTCTTGTAGATAATTGCAGCATATTATATATATATATATATATATAATATATTATATCGACTATAGGCATTGCTGCTCGCCTAAACAAGTGTGCATGCATGCGCACAGTCGCAGTTTATCAGGCACACCGCATGCAGCGCCCGCCTCGCGGTCCCGTAATTCGACTTGCCTCGATATATATATTCCCTCGTGAGCAAATTGGCGACGAAACAAAGCCGCAAATATTTGTGGCTGTTACGAGCAAGTTTCCACGGCGTCGTTAGTGCTGAGACGCAAGCAAGCGAGGCCGACGCTGCTGCACCCACGGCGCTCTTTCTCTCTCTTCCTCTCTCTCTCTCTCCTCTCTCTCTCTCTCTCTCTCTCTCTCCCCTGTGTGTGTGTGTGTGGTGTGTGTGTGTGTGTGGTTTGTGTGCTGTGTGTGTGTGTGTGTGTGTTGGGTGTGCTGGGTTGTGTGTGTGTGTGTGTGTGTGTGTGTGGTGTGTGTGTTGGGTGTGGTGTGTGTGTGTGTGTGTGTGTGTGGTGTGTGTGTGTGTGTGTGTGTGTGTGTGTGTGTGTTGTGTGTGTGTGTGTGGTGTGGAGTGTGTGTGTTGGTGTGTGGTGTTGGTGGGTGTTGAGTGGTTGGTGTTGTTGCTGTTGTGTGTGTGTGTTCTGGTGTCGTGTGTGTGATGTGTGTTCTGTCTGGTGGGTGTGTGCACGCACGCCAGCTCCAGGCTGCTGCTGCCCGCCGGCGCTCCCGCCGCCGCCGCAGCAGCAGCAGAAACACACGCCGTCGCTAATGAGAGAGAAATTGCCGCGAATTCGCTGCGGCGGTGAAATCTACATCGGCGTGCGGCGCGCATTGCGTTCCGATCACGTTTCGCAGCGGAGAGCAGAAATAATAGGGCCGCGCGGACCCGTCCGCCGGCACGATCCAGGCGCGTTAGCGCACCGACGACACACGCTCATTAGCGCTGGCGCGGGGGAGGGGAGATGCGGCTACCTCCCTCCCTCCCTCCCCTCCCCCCATCACACACACTAACGACCCCTACCCAATTACCCGCCACCAACCCCCCATTCATAGACCATAATAATATTATTATGCGGCCGCCTTCGTGGCGTAAAGCAGCGGCCACAAAGCTGGCGGTGTGCCTTTTCGGAGGTGCTCATTAATTAGCGAATCGTCTGTTTCCTCCTCTCTTCCTCCTCCTCCACCTCCTCAGCCTCCCCCTCCTCCTCTCTTTCTCGTTTTCCTCTTCTTCCTACGCATCCTCCCCCTCAGCATCCTCTTCTCCTCTCTTCCCCCCACCTCCTCATCCTTAGCATCCTCCACCTCTTCCTCCTCCTCCTCCTCACAATCATCCTCCTCAGCATCCTGCTCCACCTCTTCCTCCTCCTCCTCCACCTCTTCCTCCTCTTCCTCCTCCTCCTCCTTCTCCTCTTCCTCCTCCTCTTCCTCCTTTCTTCCTCCTCCTTCTCCTCCTTCTCAGCATCCTCCTCCACCTCTTCCTTCTCCGCATCAGCATCCTCCTCCGCGCACGGCTTCTCTCGCCGGCGTGACTTTGTCGGTGCGCTGTCGACCGAGATTTGCGAGTGCGATGATGAGGTACTCGTGGCTTTGTCTCCCATCACGTGCCGCGTGCTGGACCCAGCGCCATGCCAGCGACGACCCTGGTCCGTTACACCTTTCCCTACGCCTCCTCGCCTCCGTCGGCAAGGCCCCTCCTCTGCTTCCGCTCCGTCTCTTTCTTTCCTGCTATTCTTCTCTCTCTTTCTCTTCCGTAGACCAGTCTCCTTTTCCCCGTCGTAATATCTTTCTCTCTATTTTTCTCTTTCGTCTTCTCCGCTCTCCTCTATTAGCACACTCTCCCCTCCTCCTGTTCTCTCCTCTCTCCTACTTTCCAGTTCCCTCTCTCTCTCTCTCCCTCTATCGCGCTCTCCTCTTCTCTCGTGAATTTGTTCTCCCCCTCTCCATTTTCTCTCCTCCCTACACACCCTTTCCTCTCTACACACTCTCTCCTTCCTACACACCCTCTCTTCCCTACACCGCCAATTAATACAGCGTCCCCGCGCTGTATCGTGTTCGCGGCGTTCTCCTCTCTCCCCGGCGACCACCACACGCACCCATCCATCACACACGCCCCAACACAAGCAGCCGAACGTGCAGCAGTGATGTCTGGCGTGTCACCGCGTGCGCGTGGTGTCTCTCAGCTGCCAGCCGCGTAAAATGTTTATTCCGGGAGCGCCGAAGTTGTCAAATAAACAGTTTCGCTCGCGTAAATAAACAGCGATGAGAATGTTAAACACGATATACGTGCGCGCGTATAGGACCGGAGAGCGCCCGTAATGAGGTGTTAACTACATGCGTGTGTATGCTAGTTTGTCTGCCGAGTATTTGTTTCAGCGTGAGCGAGTGTTTAGGCTGGGCCGGCGAACGGATCGGCGTATCGACTGATACTAAAAAGAGCAAAAGTCTTGATCATTAGAGTGGCTATGCGAGCGAGAGTGTACAGCAAGAGGTGTTTACGTGGGTGAACCACGTCAGAAATCCCACGCGACGCCAATGCGCGTGCGCGAAAACATTCCAACATTTTTCGCGAAACACATTTAGATGTATGCCAGATTAAACTAAAACTTAAACTTTGACGTTTCAAACAAAAACGTTTGAATTCCCAATCGATCACTGATAATTCGATTATTAATCCCATTAATAAACCAGTGTCTACGCGGGCCACGGGTTAGGTTGGCAGTGGGTCTTTCACTGGCGTGGCGTTGACCGGGATGCCGCACCCGTTTGATGTGCCCGCACACACCAAGACACCAACAACGCAAGTACGATCAACCCGCAGAGATCTTTGCAATCGCGCTAAAACTACCGCCGCAGTTACGTAAACGCCACGTCTGTTATACGCGCAGACGATGTCGGCAACCACAGCGTCTCTATTTACCAACGCACGCCACAAAGGCTTTGCTAGTCGCCGCACGAAAACAGCAAAACAACGGGACGCACGCATAAAACTGCGCGCCGCACCGCGCTGCCTGATTGGTCTTGCAGCTGCGTGAGTCAATAAGGGGGCGGCACCGAACGATTCTCATTGGCCGAAAGGCATCAATGCTGGGTGGCGCTGGATTGGATAATGACATCCCTGCGCGCGATGCCTCGCTGTGCGCTGGCGTAAAGGGGCAAAAGTTGCACGATCTCGTGCATATCCGATGCTGTCGGCAGACCACACACTACTACTCGCCGCACACCGCACAAAAACTGTCGCAGCATGGTAAAGTCGGATGTGATCGTCATGACGACGAAGACGACGACAAAGAGACTGCACAGCTCGTTTAGCATCAGCAGCATCCTGCCGGAAACGATGCACGACGACGATGACGATACCGAGAACCTCGCGTCACCCGTCAGCGACGACCGCACGCACGACTACGACGTCGCCAACACGAACATCGAGAGCGACGACATCGACGTGACGACGACCGACGCCAACGACGACGACGAGGAGGAGAAATCCGCCGAGCAGGAACCCAGAGAGAAGGGTACCGGCAACAACAAGGACGGTAAGGAGAAGAAGGATAAGAAGGGCGAGAAGCCGCCATTCAGTTACAACGCGTTGATCATGATGGCGATCCGCAGCAGCCCTGAAAAACGCCTCACGCTCAACGGTATCTACGAATTCATCATGAAGAACTTTCCCTACTACCGCGAAAACAAGCAGGGCTGGCAGAACTCGATCCGTCACAACCTCAGCCTGAACAAATGCTTCGTCAAGGTGCCTCGCCACTACGACGACCCGGGGAAAGGCAATTACTGGATGCTAGATCCGAGCAGTGACGACGTCTTCATCGGTGGCACGACGGGGAAGTTACGGCGTCGCTCCACGGCCGCGTCGCGTAACCGCATCGCCGCCTTCAAGCGCGGCATCCCGGGTATCGACGACAAGCCAATGTTCTGGCCCATGTCGCACATGTACCCGTTCTCGCAGCAACTCGCGACCGCCTTCCGCTACGGAACACCGACAGCCGCTTACCCGTACAGCACGCTCGTGGCGCCCTCACCGTCGCTGGCGCGACCCGTGCCCGCTCACGGCTTCTCCATCGATAGACTCATCAATGGCGCCGACTCGGCGTCGGCAGCGGCAGCGGCCGCAGTCTCGCAAGCGCACCCGCTGCAGATGCGCGCGGCAAACTTCCCCGGGTTCAACGGTGCGACGTACACGACGCCTGGCGGACAGGTGTCCGGTTACCTGTACCCACACCTACAGCACCTGCAGACGGCGACGCCCGCCTACGACGTGTACGCGTCGCTAGCGGCGCGCGGACTGACGATGTCGCCACAGTCGGCGTTCGCAGCCTCCCAGTTGGCTTCGTCTGTAAATCAGGTGCTGTCGCCCGTGAGACCGACGATGCCAGTCGACACGCTGTCGGCACTCAATTACGCCAGCCCCGTACTGGCGCGAAACAGCTGAGACCGTCAGCAGCAGCAGCGACGCACGCGCACGCACGCACGCACGCACGCACGCACAGACGTGGTGGTGCGTTGTTGTTGGCGTGCATGTAAGATAATCTGTTAATAGTGTACGTATCATTATTATTATTATTACTATTATTAATATTATTATTATTATTCACTCATGATAATATACTGTCCCCCCTACAAACGCACAATCTGATACACACGAACACACGCACGCCGCACCCACACACAACACAGACAGAGACAGACCTATGCACTCGTACACTCTTACGCACGCACGCGCGTATACACACATACACACATATTTACATCAGCCTGTTCTGCTAGCATCTATGACAAATACGACATACGCATTATACGCTCTCCTATGACACTATTTGTCATAGGAAGATTCTTCCTATGACAAATATTGTTGTATGTGTTGTACGCATCATAGGAGTTTAGGAGCGCTATTATGAACGCAAGCAGTGAATTTCAGCTGAACGAAGTTGACTCGCCAATATTTGTCATAGTATACACACGTATATGCGTATGTCGTATTTGTCATAGATGCAAGCAGAACATGTTGCAATATATGCTTTCGTGACCACGAATATAAGTGCCTCACCGCTAACGGTTATATGTCAGAGTTCATACTTAGTATCTAAGTAGTCTTGCTATGGTGGTAACATGAGCTAATCTGTCTTGGGTATCGTAAGAAGATAATTTCACTAACTTCAAAAGCAATAATTTGATAAAGCAGGAGCGCACTGACAGTGATGAGAGGATCATGTGCTGTGTATCAAAGGAGACTAGTTCAAAGGCGACCTCAACTGAGAAATGTTCGCGATGATAAAATAGACGGAAGTAGAAATCTTCAGCTTAAATAATATACTTTATAACCCATTTTTAAAAGCTTTATTTGAACAGAGACTTGTAATATATTATGCTCAGACAAATTCTCCTGATGTATTTATTATGTTCCTTCTATTTTAACTAGTAGGGGTGTACGCGGCAAGTCCGGGTGGGAGGGCAAATATCACCAACATCAATTGGGTATATCGTCTCTTACCGGGAAACGCAATCTATTGAGTAGTATACTGAAATAAAAACACATCTTCTAGACCATTATGAAGGAAATCACGGATTCAAGCGGAGCCGCGAACAATATAT